GGAATGACTATATCATCTGGTACTAATCGAACAGCCACGCCTCCTATCATCAGGCTAATAACAGCAAATGGACCTGGAATGATGAAGCATCCATCAAGGAAATCACTTTCACCCTATCTGTTGCCAGTTCGCTAGGGGACACTGGTGAGGTCAATAAATCATCATGGACATAAAATTGCACTGGGACAGTATCGTCCATCTCACATACTCTTCTAGAATCCTGACATTTCCCCATGAAGAGGTGGTCTAATTTCTCTTTCCATTAATCTGGCTCGACTTGTGACATGCTAGTAACCAAAAGAATGCAGCAGAAGTGACACTGCGTGATGTCTACGGCCAGGTAACGAGGGGGGCCAGGTAACAAGGGGATGTGGATTCTGCCCCAGAGCTGCACCACTTGCTTGTGCTGCAGCCCTATGTGTGCAAAAGCCCCAACTAGGACCACGTGGAGTGAAGGTGAGTGTAGGAGGTAAGAAGAGAGGGTTGGGAGAGGGATGCGGGAAAGGGAGAGAGTTCAGTCTTCCTGTAGCTGCTCTAGCTTAGCTCCATCTGGCTCTCAACTGCTTGAAAAACGCTGAGTCTGAGTCGCAACGGCCAAGATGAGCCCTTCGTGATTATGAAACCCATATAAATCTGATCCTAAGTACAGTAAAGAGAACCACGTACAACTCAGTGCCTAAAATAAGATGAAAATGCAATGACATGCACAGTAATTAGGAACTTGCACTACCACTAATAAAATAAAGAAGAAGAAAAACCAGATGCAAGCAAATCGTATTATGAACAGAAGCACCTATTTCACAGATTTCAACAATTGCTCTTTTTACACCAGAAAACTGTCTTTCTTCATTATGCCCAGATTATAAGGAAGCTATTAGTTGTAGAAACCTTTGAGGGGGGAGTGGTTTTAAGTACTTACTGGGTATGCAGTAACAAAAGCTGTTACTAGCGGATGTCCTAGTAACAAACATGCTATTTCTTTGACACATTGCTAAGCTTGGAAATTCAATAGGAAAGGCACTAAAATACTATCAGGTTTACCTATGGATATGTGTCTGGAGGTCCCAAGAAAACAATACATGATAACAGGGTAGAACGAAGAGTACAGGCCAAACACCGGGGGCACAGCCGCCAACGTTGCAAAGGCTAACCCTGCGGGATTAAAAACCACACAGAAATGGGGAGATCATTAGAAAACAGAAGGTTATATGTTTTTTTCTTTTGGCTTTTTATAGATGATGAACAAGTGAAAACCATGTTAACTTAAGCAGATTTATCTTAACGTGCCCACACTTCCATCCCAATCCTATGTGGAATCCGACATCTGTGCTTAGGGGGTCGAGGCCCTGTCTTGTCCTCTTCACCAGTGGTGGACTTTTTTTTTTCTGTTTTATTCTTTCCCAATTTATATCGAGGAACAAATTCTTACTTGACTGGGGCAGTTGTAACCTGGTGTGGGTGTCCAAATGCTGGCTGTTTCTTCAATGGGGTATTTTCCGGGTTCTTCGGAGACCTCTTTTCAATGAGGAGCTCCCACAGGAACTCCCTGGCCAATGTGATGTCCCCTCCCCATGACCTCGGCCCCTTCCAGGTTCCAGTTCTTACACCTGCTCCAGGTTCGTTGTGCTGCGGCTGCTCATCCCATAGGCAGTCTTCTTGGGCAAGTACCTTTGCAATGAGCCAAGCCTGGTTACCTCCAGGGTGCCCAGTTATTCAATGCTTTACCCCCAAAATTGTGGAAGTGTAGGCCACACCCCCGGAGGGCTTATTCTGCTGTCATAGGCAGTTCACACCTTTTTACCATAGATTTATTTTGCTTGCAGTCCTTCCTTCCCGACTTTTGGTGGAGGGGAAATGCATACTTTTTTCACCTCCTCTAGAAAATTCTCATTCCAAATCTAGTATCAATTTCCTCGTCCTCTCATATGTCCTGTTGAAGTGATGTGCTAAAGAGAGAGCATGCGTGTCTTTCATCCACGCTTTTGCATAGATGGGCTGGCATCCCTCTTCAGAACATGCAGGCAATAAACATCCTTTGTTCTCACCTTTGGGGTTTCAGCCAAATATTTCGGACTAATAGAAAATTCATGAAATGCACTTTCATCTTGTGGATAAGGACATTTTAGCAAAACAAGAGTTGGGAAAGCATTTACTTATTTAATATGTAATAATACAGTCACTTTAATGTTGTTTTTTTAAAAAAACAAATTTTATTTCTAGCAAAGAAATGCATGGCCACAGATGAAAAAGCCAAGCAGTACTAGGGGGGCTGGGAGGAAAAGCCAGCACTCTCCTTCCTTACTTCTAGGTTCCACTCCCCAGA